CTCACAAGAAAAAAAGAAAAGAAAAGAATACTGGCACAATAATAAAAATAATAATAAATGTAACAATTTAACCTAGTTGACATAACCATATTCCAAACTGTGACCTTTGTAATCCCAAATCCTTCCTAGTTTGGTTTCATTTAACTACATTTTAAAATGTACTATTATTGTATAATGTTCTACCATTAGAGTTCAATTTTACTTTGTTTATTTTGAAGATGAGATGAAGTTCTAAGCAAAACCCTTTCACTATGAAGCAAAATATAAGTAATTTAACCAAGTTGACATAACCATATTCCAAACTGTAACCTTTGTAATCCCGAATCTTTCCTAGTTTGGTTTCATTTAACTACATTTTAAAATGTACTATTATTGTATATTGTTCTACTGTTAGAGTTCAATTTTACTTTGTTTATTTTGAAGATGAGATGAAGTTCTAAGCAAAACCCTTTCACTATGAAGCAAAATATAAGTAATTTAACCAAGTTGACATAACCATATTCCAAACTGTAACCTTTGTAATCCCGAATCTTTCCTAGTTTGGTTTCATTTAACTACATTTTAAAATGTACTATTATTGTATATTGTTCTACTGTTAGAGTTCAATTTTACTTTGTTTATTTTGAAGATGAGATGAAGTTCTAAGCAAAACCCTTTCACTATGAAGCAAAATATAAGTAATTTAACCAAGTTGACATAACCATATTCCAAACTGTAACCTTTGTAATCCCGAATCTTTCCTAGTTTGGTTTCATTTAACTACATTTTAAAATGTACTATTATTGTATATTGTTCTACTGTTAGAGTTCAATTTTACTTTGTTTATTTTGAAGATGAGATGAAGTTCTAAGCAAAACCCTTTCACTATGAAGCAAAATATAAGTAATTTAACCAAGTTGACATAACCATATTCCAAACTGTAACCTTTGTAATCCCGAATCTTTCCTAGTTTGGTTTCATTTAACTACATTTTAAAATGTACTATTATTGTATATTGTTCTACTGTTAGAGTTCAATTTTACTTTGTTTATTTTGAAGATGAGATGAAGTTCTAAGCAAAACCCTTTCACTATGAAGCAAAATATAAGTAATTTAACCAAGTTGACATAACCATATTCCAAACTGTAACCTTTGTTATCCCGAATCTTTCCTAGTTTGGTTTCATTTAACTACATTTTAAAATGTACTATTATTGTATATTGTTCTACTGTTAGAGTTCAATTTTACTTTGTTTATTTTGAAGATGAGATGAAGTTCTAAGCAAAACCCTTTTTCTATGAAGCAAAATATAAGTAGATACTATGAATTGAAGGAAGATTAGTATAGAATGTTTACAAGAAACTAAGTCGGTAGGTAATAATAATAAAGCAAGGGGTACAGAAATACTATGTATAAAATTTACTATATTGGTAAAGATAGACGTAGAAATGGTGTATGAATAACTGTAGTTAAACATCTTAAATATAAGGTAGTAATAGTCACAATAGAATAATGCTAATTAAGCTTGTATTTGGGGAAAGCATAATTGATGTGATTAGATGAAGTTCTAAACGAAACCTTTTTTTTATGCCGCAAAATATAAGCAAATATTAAGTTATGTACTGTATTTGTGAACAAGAAGAAACCCGTAATTTTGTTGTTTTCATAGAACATACTACTAGAAAGCACGGATACGGCGATACAGCAAAATCTAAAAAAGTAAGATACGGGTATAGCTAGGATACGTTTGTAAAAAATAAAAAAATTATTAGCAGAGTTACACATAAGCTCAAGAATGCTGAGAAATCACAGTAACTTTATAATACAAAATACTAATATTTGAGAATTAGGTATTACTTTAAGGCAGTAGCTAGTTTAGTTTTTTAATTTTCAATAGATCTTGCAAATATTTCATTTCAATATCTAATATGTTTGTATTACAATAATAAAACAATTTACAACTTGTCCCTGCATTTTTCCTTTTGGCACTGGTAAAGAATATTGTTTTCAAGTTTACTTACTTATTTATATGTTGATATTTAATTTTAATTATACTATTATTATATTCTCTTGTTAATACTTACTTTCTATATAATTATATGAGACATGCATGAAAGAAAAAAGATAAATCAATTGGTCAAATTTAATTACTTTAATTCACTATATTTTTCTTATCAAAGAACTAAATAAAGTATTAAAAAAGTATTCTTATATTTATTCATACAATTATTTATATTATATTATTATGCAAGAAATACTACAATTTTAATTTTGTAAAAGAAGTATTATGTGATTTAGAGTATCTGATATATATCTGTGAATATCCAAAAAGTAGATATCTAATACAAATATAATACAAATACATCTCTCTTTTTGAAATATCCGAGAAAAATATCCGTACTTCATAACAGTGTCTTATGAAAATTTTGATTTCTTTCATTTTTTCCCTCTGGCTACCAATTGTTAATATATATATATATATATAAATAAACAAATAAATAAATAAGTGGATAAACATACCAGGAAAGAGAGGCCTCCAAAAATCAACCAATTCGCTTACAGACACCTCCAAAACCAAGAGAAGGATGACAGTCGAGAGGACTTTCCAAACAACAACAAACTTTTATAACTCTTTTTATCTACATAGGATGCAAACAAGATAATAAACAACTACCAACATCTACGGACACATGTCCGGATCACTGTACAACAAGGGTAAACCCGGGATCGCTATAGTCTGTTATGAAAGGTTTTCTTTACCCTTGAATTTATTTATGTCATTGTCCACTCAGTAAAGGGTGAGTGAACAAACTTTTTCTTTATAATTTTCTTTTTGGCTCTCTTTGAAAATGTATACTGAAATATAAGATTCAAATACATCCTTAATTAAACATGAATATAAAGAGTTTCAAGTGGTCGGTATGACCCAATTAGAGAAAAGTCTAACAAGCTCCCATCTGTTATGTTTGAATTTTGGCACCAGAACACTTGTGGTGGTAGAGAGTTATCAATGCCGAATTAATTTAATTTTTCATAAATAAATTTTTCAATAGCGCTTAATATGAGAGAAAAATATCCGTACTTCGTAACAGTGTCTTGTGGAAATTTTGATTTCTTTCATTTTTTTCCTTCTAGCTACCAATTGTTAATATATATATAAACAAATAAATAAATAAGTGGACAAACATACCAGGAAGGAGAGGCCTCCAAATATCAACCAATTCACTTACAGACACCTCAAAAACCAAGAGCAAGATGACACTCGAGAGGACTTTCCAAACAACAACAAACTTTTATAACTCTTTTTATCTACATACATATGCATATTCATCCATATATATATAAAGGGTGAGTGAACAATATATATATTTTTTGTTGAATTTATCTTATTTTTGTCTGTTATGAAAGGTTTTCTTTACCCTTGAATTTATTTATGTCCACTCACTAAGACGTCTATTATTACAAGACTATTGAATAGACTTTTCAACAGCAAAATTATTCTTTTCTTCTTCTCCAATTCTGCATTCACACCAAACCAATCAAGATATGTATCCGAACGCAATATTTCAATGGTCCGGCCGGGTCTGGCCAGATTTTAAAATGACAGTTCAAGCTTAAGCTTTCGGGTTGGATTCGGGCCCGAGCTTAATCGGACCGGGTCCACTCCAGACTGTGGGCGGGTTTCGGACCACCTATAGGTCACGAGCCATTTTTACACCCCTAACTAGATGTAAGTTGAGATCAATTAAACTTTATGAGTATTATTGAAGAAAACAACGGTAACTCGCAATTTTTAAACAGTGTTTAAATTTTGAAGTATATAATAGTGATTTAAGAGAAAAAAAAAAAAAGAAGAGACAAATATTCACAATAATATAAATCAATTTTTTTTTTACTTTTTCTTTATAATTTTCTTTTTGTCTCTCTTTGAAAACGTATACTAAAATATAAGATTCATATACATCCTTAATTAAACACGAATATAGAGTTTCAAGTGGTCAGTATGACTAGCAACCTCAATTAGAGAAAAGTCTAACAAGCTCCCATCTGTCATGTTTGAATTTTGTCACCAGAACATCTTAAGCTTTCGGGTTGGATTCGGGCCCGAGCTTAATCGGACCGAGTCTACTCCGGACTGTGGGCGGGTTTCGGACCACCTATAGGTCACGAGCCATTTTTACACCCCTAACTAGATGTAAGTTGAGATCAATTAAACTTTATGAGTATTATTGAAGAAAACAACGGTGACTCGCAATTTTTAAATAGTGTTTAAATTTTGAAGTATATAATAGTGATTTAAGAGAAAAAAAAAAAAAAAAGAAGAGACAAATATTCACAATAATATAAATTAAAATTTTATTAGTTTTTCTTTATAATTTTCTTTTTGTCTCTCTTTGAAAACGTATACTAAAATATAAGATTCAAATACATCCTTAATTAAACACGAATATAGAGTTTCAAGTGGTCAGTATGACAAGCAACCTCAATTAGAGAAAAGTCTAACAAGCTCCCATCTGTCTTGTTTGAATTTTGTCAGCAGAACACTTGTGGTAGAGAGTTATCAATGCTGAATTAATTTAATTTTTTATAAATAATTTTTTCAATAACTCTTATAAAATTAACGGTTTGAATCATTAAAATTATTTTGAAAGTGGTCTAACTAATCCTAACAACATCTATTTTTATTCATTTAGCTCGCCGAGATAATACTCTTATGAACCAAAAACAAAATTTGGGATAAATTACTTTAGCAGTCCCTATATTTTATCCATTGTGTTATTTTAGTTTTACACTTTCAATTGACTCAATTTTGACCCTTAATTTTAAATTTTGTGTCAATTTGGTCTAATTGATAACACCATTAGAATTTTTGACAGAAAGTAATTACTGAATTAGTTGAGGTTGACTCATTGAGTTTAAAATTTTTTATAATGTTGCTCTTAAAAGCATAAAACATGCCACTTATGTATGTATTTTTCATAAAATAATACTTACAATTGTAATCAATTGGATGAAATTGAGACAAATTTATAAATTTATGGTCAAAATCGAGTCAATTGAAATTACATGAATCAAAATAACATAAGGACTAAAGTATAGTGACTACTGACGTAATTTGGCCTAAAATAAAAAATAAAAAATAAAATGTTGAAAATTTTAGAAGTGAATGAGAATTGACTCAATTTGAATGAAATGATGCAGTCCTTCATGGTGTCTATTCGTATAAAAGTGCGGTGAACCCAAGAGACATGATCATTCTAAAGGTCATAGATACTTCTATAAATACCATCCAATCCCATGGCATTGATGCATAAGTTAAGGTTTGTCTTAGGATTCATACATTTTGTCTAGTCAAGTATATAAGAGAGAGTGCACGGCAAAAATTAGTTTACTGTACACACAGAAAGTTGTTCAATTTTTGTGTGAGGTGATTGTTGTATCTTGGAAATAAGACGTCCATTAATCACAAGCACCAAAGGCGAGGGCAAAATTCTATCATATCCACGTATTTAATTTGCACTCACATACTTTCTTAGTCGTTGGTTGGTGATTGTGATGATAGAGGTGAAATTAAGAAGATTGACTTTGGCCCTGTTTGATGGAGCCTTTTTTTTAGTTAAAAGTTGATAATTAGAAAGCGGAAACTAAAAGCACCCCTACCTTAACTTCCAAATAATCATATTTTTTAGCTTATTTAAGCTATTTCTTCTTAATAAGTTATAAGCAGAAGTTGCACCAAATATTTTAGCACAGATTCTCAAATCAAAATAAGTTATAATCACCCCAAAAACTGTAACAAACAGTGCATTTGTGAATTTTGAAGTCAAAAGTTTGAATTGCCTTGTGTGATTATGGAATTTTGGGGGAACATTTTTCAAACTGGGCACAGTTATCTCCATCGGCCTAAGTCCACTAAGTTTGTCAAAGATATAGATGGAACTTGTTTGAGATGTTTATTTCTAACCCCAAGGTAACCCCATTCCCATAGTTAATTTCGAAAAATGAGTTTGAATCAAATACAAAAATTTGGTTTTAAATTGCATGCAAAATTAGCTCTAATTGAAGTCGGGTGATCAATAGCGATCAATAGGTGATTTATCGGCAAGCTATCACAATTTCAGTAGTAGCTAGTGATTGCTGAATGATTGACTAACGAGTGATCACCTGAAATCAATTTTGGAACAGTAGCTATCGATCACTAGGCGATCAATCCCTTTTGAGAGTGAGTGATCGATCATTTTGTCTAGAGCAATTGATCGCTTCTTTAGTTTTTATTAAATATTTTCCTTATTGATTTTGGCTATTGATTTTTCTATATAAAAGCTTTCATAACTCGAAAATTATTTCTTGTACTCTAGAGAATATCTATGAGTTGATTTTTAAAAATCCACAAAATCCTTTCAAAACCTTGGAACATCTTTGCATTGTTCCTTCTACACTCGCGACTAGTTGAGCAATTGAAGTCGTTCAACAACAAAGATCGAGGCTATTACATCGTGGTGTTCAGAAAATTAAAAAGGCTTACTGAAGGCTGTATTCATAAAGTTAATACAAATCATCGGTGTTATGTAGACCTAAGTTAATGTTATGATTCCCTCTCCACTATGTCTTGTATAGTTTTTTTAATCCACTATTCCATTTTGGAATTTCCCAAAATGATAGTTTCATTTGAAGGGTCAAAGTAAAAAACATTTGATTTTCCAAAATTATCCTTTTTGATTAATTATAAATATATTAAAATTTTGAAAAGATAGGATCATTAGTGGAAAAATATTTTGAAATTTAAATTCAAGTATAATGATTGCATGTTCTCTTAAATAGTTAAAATCTTCAAAAGGAACCAACAAATTGGGATAGAGGGAGTAACAACTTATACAAAAGGCACTACAAGAAATCAGCTTTGTAGGGTCAAATTTATTCTGTCCCTAAAAGTGTAATATTCTCTTAAAGATTTCATTTTTCTTTTTTTTTACTTTTTGCATATATTTTTGTAAAACGTTAAAAAATCATTAATTTTTAATCTCATATTTAGTTAAAAAATTAAAAAAATTATTAAAATAATATATTTTTAAACGAGGCGGAAACGACAAAAGATTTTAGGATCCTTACTTTAGTGTTTAAAACCAACTCCTCCAACAGTATATTGTCTCCATCTTTGACAAAGAATGCTGGAGACTTTGGGGGCCTTGAGTCGGTTCTCATCACATTAATAAGTCGACTTTGCTTTCTAACTTTTCTTATTTACTTTTTCTAGAGCAAATTATTCAAATGGTCTTTAAAATATTTTTAGTCCATAATATTTAATTTATATCAATCATAGTTTAAACAGTAAAAAAACAAACATATTAGGCATTTGGTTCTCAATAATTGAATGAAAGGCTTGGATATATATTTCACGTCTCCTCTTCTTTTAAGCTAAAAAATGAGATTTTTTCTCCCAACGCCCTAGAAATACTTGATGTAAGGTTGACATAAACACTTTTTCATATGTTTTAAGGGGATATTTTTTTTAGAGTTCATGATATTAAGATTTTATAGTATAAAAGGTATTTAATGTCACGTCTCAAAATTCGGACAATTAAATATTAAATTAGGACTAAATCCTAATAATATTCCATCATCCAAATCTTAGGGGTGAAACAAAAAATTAAACGCTAACCAAACCATCTATCATAATTTTATAACTAACTAATACCTCAACATTCAGGTAGCAACAACCAGCCAAAACAATTTAAATAAAGTACGGTTACAAACCATGCCAAATTATTCCAATACTAAAGTCATAAAAAAAATAATAAATACATAAACTAATATCAACCATAAGCTTAAGAAAACAAAAAAAGTCCAAACGACATGTCCAACACTATAGTAAATCTACGTCACTACTGTAGCCTCAACTAATCCTGCAAAGGAAGCTCAGCTGCGCTCAAACAGAACGCACCCGAGTTGCCAAGAGACAAAACGGGTCAGTACACAGATATACTGGTATGAGTACAAGATTTAACACCCATGTGTTCACCAGACACAAACAAAAAAATACTTAATTCTTGTTACGGGACAAGACAAATAGTTCCATCCGCACCGAGACAAATGGGCAGTTTCTCGAGATACGGTGGCATTTAGTTTCTTGCCCATACACAACAAAATATAAATTAAGTATAGAATAAACAAAATAAAAATAAAAATATGATGGGCCAGCCCTGCATAAAAAAAATTAGTAAGACCCACCATCCTGCAAAACAAATAAAGTTAGTATAATTTAATCATAAGTAACTTGCTGAAAAAGTATAAAAACATACCATTTCATGCTTAAATAATTCGAATTGACCAAAACTCAAAGAACTAAAGTTGTAGAGAATCAAATTTCCTAAAACAAAACGTAAACAAATTTAACAAAAACTGAACAGGTTGAGAGAAAAACTTGATATAAAACCTAGACGGATTTCAATCGAAAAATCTGAAACTAAAAACGAACAGAAACTATCCTAAGATGATTTTTTTCAAAAAAGTTCAAAACACGAAAAGTGTGCAGAATAATGTTTTACATTAGCTTTTAAGAAATCAATAAAAATGAGCTCGTTTCGTGGGTTAAAATAGCCTTTAAAATCTGCATTGTTAAAATGAATCAAACCAACAATAATCAAGATTATCCGATTATAGGTTCTAATCGATCTTTTTAATAAAAAGCTAAAACATAAAAGTTGTCTAGAATCACGTATACATGTCTGCTCAAATTTTATAATTTATCGAGGTCGTTTACTATTTTTCAACCTGTACAAATCAATACAATACACACTAACAATCATCTCATAATTAAATTCTTTATACCTTAACTCCTCCACTTCGGCCCTCCACTTCCGGCCTATACATATATCCCATGTGCCTTCCATATACCTAACACTGCTCCGAAGCCAAACTTGCACGGGGATATCGTCCCGAGTTTGACTCACACTCCCCAGATGGTTAGCATATACGTATGTGCGTAAATCAAAACACTCGTCTACTCATGAGAACGAGGCAACAATATACATATACAAAACATCTCACTCATGAGAATAAATATAACAATGCCAAGCCTAAGACATTCAAATAAATCTCATAATCCTCACCTTTTTTTTTATACACTCTTTTTCACAATCACTCAAATAAAACAACAATCCATGGAGTCATTGTGGTATATAAGGAATTTATCTATGGGTTCCTAACTAATTTTAATTTCATATAACCATGAGTGTGATTACAACCATAAATAAATCCATATAAAAACCCTAAACATGGCATATAAAACTAATCAAAATAATTAAAATCAATCAATCAACTAATAATCATAAACCTTACATACACAATTAAACAAAATAATTAAAATCAATCAATCATCTAAAATTCGAAACTTTACATACACAACTAATCCAAAATAATTAAAATCAATCAATCATCTAAAAATCCTAAACTTTACTTCTACCACTAATCAAAATAATTAAAATCAAACTATCATCTTTATATAAATACAAAATCGAACTAACATCAAATAAATAAAAATAAAAACAATGAATCAAACATAAATAAAGGAAAGTAAGTTTTGTACTCATAATATTATTTTGAAGATCAAAAAAATATTTAAAAAATTAATAGAATTACCAAAACAAAACCCTAACCCTAATCTTCCTTTCCTTTCTTTTTCTATACCTCTTCTGCTGTCTCTCCCTCAGTCACACACCCCTCTCTAACTATTGACCTCCCTTTTGTGCATCCTATTCCTGTTTTACTTGCTCCTTCTTACTCTTCTCTAAATATTCATCCCATGACTACCAAGTCCAAGTCTTTTTCTTCTTCTGCTCTTTTCTCTACTATTTCTCCTCTTGTTGAACCCACTTGTTTCTCTGGGTTTCAATACTATGCTTTGTTCATTGATGAATTTAGCAAATTTACTTGGGTTTATCCTCTTTGCTATAAAAGTGAAGTGTTTACCATTTTGTACTTACAATTTTTTTTTGAAGATCAAAGAATCACTTGAACAATTAATGAAGCCACCAAAATAAAACTATAATCTTTTTTATTCTTTTTCCCCACCTTCTTCTTCTGTTCCTCTTTCACGCCACACAGCCACACACAACACACACACACACTCTCTCTCTCTCTCTGTCTCTCTCTCTCTCTCGGTGCCGTTCCTGCCCTGTTTCTCTTTCTTTTTTTTTTCTTTCTTTATTTTCTTATCAACTTCTTAACCTAGTTGATTACATATTATGTTATATATATATATAAACCTAAATCTCATACATAATAACCTAATAAACTATTATATAATATTATACAACAAATTATAATATATATAAATATAAATATAAGATAATATATATATATAACAAATATAAATACACCTCTCTTTTCTTCTTTTTTTTATATAACAAATATAAATATATAAATATTTGAATTAATTAAATAACACATTAAATTAATTAAATATCACATTAAATTCTCATGTGACCACACAATTAATAAAGCCAAAAATAAAATAAGATAATAATAATCATAATAATAATAAATAATGACTTAAGAAAATTAGGGTCGCTACATCTAATATTTTCATAATGTCTAAGGTCTCTCAAATCGATCTAGAGAAAATTCGATCCAAGAAATTTTGAAATTTCTCTGATTTGCTCAATTTGTTTGATTTTCTGTGTTTTGAAATTTCTCTGAGATTGAATTTTCTTTAATTTGCTCACAAATTTCTCTATGATTTGTTTACATTTTTCTCTGTGTATTTGACTAATTTTATCTGTGTTTTAACCAAACTAGAGAAAATTATGTTTGCTAATTTTCTATGTTAATTTTCTCTGTGTGATCGGCACCAACATAACCATGGGTATCTTTTGCAACACTTTCAAGATCAACCTGTAAAAAGATAAGCATATCAATTACATATGTAAAATCAAATTGTTAAGAATACTGAAACAGAAAGGCAGTAACTAGAATTTCACATATTCCGCAAGTGTCATGTTTTTTGTATGGATCCGAAGGACTTCCAACCTTCCCACCTCATCTGGTACACCAATGTTAATCTTTAGATCAAATCTCCCAAATCTCCTTAGAGCATGGTCAATGCTGTTTGGCCTATTGGTAGCCCCCATGACGATCACGTGAGCTCTGGACTTGAGGCCTTCCATTAAAGTCAAAAGTTGGGATAGTATACGTCTCTCCACTTCACCATGTGTCTTTTCCCTCTTTGGAGCAATCGAATCTATTTCATCAATGAAGATGATAGACGGAGCATTTTTTTCAGCTTCCTTAAATGCCTTTCTCAAGTTGTTTTCACTCTCACCAGCCAGCTTTGACATTATTTCAGGGCCATTTATGAAGAAGAAAAATGCACCTGTCTCATTCGCTACAGCTCTTGCAATTAGTGTTTTTCTAGGCCCAAGTAGGCCATAAAGCAAGATACCTTTTGGAGGCTTTACACCAATTGACTTGAAGATCTGTGGATGCCTATTTCTTTGTGATTTTTTCACAATTTTCTCCATGTATTTGACAATTTTTTTTTTAATTTGTTCATAATTTTCTCTGTGTTTTAATCAAACCAGAGAAAATTGTGTTTGTTAATTTTCTCTGTGTGATGGCCAGAGAAATTCGTTGATTTTTTCTGGCCAAATCACATACTCCCCCCATGATCAAATTACACACTCAACTTTAATCCACAATTTCAAATAACCAAATCCACAAACCAGAGAAAATTGAACAACCACCATTTCATTTTGACCAATTTTTTCTAGACATTCAGACAACAAAAAACCAGAGAAAATTGAACAATCACCATTTTCATTTTGACCAATTTTCTCTGGACTGTAAGACATTTAGACAACAACAAATCAAAGAAAATTGAACAATCACTATTTTCATTTTGACCAATTTTCTCTAGATTGTAAGACAACAACAAACCAAAGAAAATTGAACAACCACCATTTTCATTTTGGCCAATTTTCTCTAGATTGTAAGGCAACAACAAACCAGAGAAAATTGAACAACCACCATTTTCATTTTGACCAATTTTCTCTAGATATTCAAACAACAACAAACCAGAGAAAACTGAACAACCACCATTTTCATTTTGACAAATTTTCTCTCGAATGTAAGACATTTAGACAACAACAATTCAGAAAAAATTGAACAACCACTATTTTCATTTTGACAAATTTTCTGTGGACTGTAAGACATTTTCTCTAGACTTTATGTTGGGCAACTAGGATGTGATTCTTCCATTTCAGTGCTTAATTTGCCTCAATTTTGCCAGTTTATAATGCCAAGAACAACCTATATCTAGACACAACCCAACTGAAGTTTTTCTAGTTTATAATGCCATGCTCACATAAATGAATTCGTAAATGGCACTAGTAGGATAGGATGTCTCCATACAAGACGCAAAAAAATTGTTTGTTGCCTCATAAAAACAAATCCATGAGTTAAAATTTGCTCTGCTCACCATGGGCACCACAAATAATTCAATTGAATAAAATAAAAAATAAAAAATTGAATAGCTACATATAACACAAAAGTTAAATATATGACTAAAAAATCTTAAAGAATGTAAGCTTGAAGATGCTTGGGGTAGAGCAGTATCGCCTTATCGTAGTCCTTGATGAGGTGCTTGTGGAACTCTAATTGACTATTGCAAGAGGCTCGATTACTGAAAGTTGAGCAGCAGAGCTTCGCAAGCTGGACTCTCTCCGAGATTGCGGTTGACGCCATTGACACCGGCAATAAAACGAAACCACTTCGTATCTACCTCTATCTCTATCTCTATCTCTATCTTTATCTTCATCACTAGAGTTGTGATTTTCCTTGGTTGAGATTATAGAGAGAGAAATAAGAGAGGAGAGAGAAGCGATGGAAGAATCGAGCAATGGTTTGGTCTCTCTAGAGATGATGGAGAGGCTAAAGGGTTCCCTGTAAAGAGCGCCCTCATACCTAATCTCGTACTTGGAGGTTAAACTGATGAAGCTTCCTATGTACGAAGCTATCAAAGACAAGGATGAAGACCACGATGGTGATAGTGATGGTGGTGGTAGTGGCGGTAGGGGTGGAGATGATGATGATGAAGCTGAAGCTTTCATGCTTGATTTGTTCGACATTTTTGTCAAATTTCTCTGTGATATATGGGGTTAGGATTGAGAGACCTTAGACATCATAAAATAATATCGTGGACTTTATCCATTACTAAAAATGAGATAGGGACCCTAGACTAATTTTCTTAACTACATAATATCAAGGCATCATTAAATAAATATTATGAAAAGCTTTTATGAAAAATTTTCACCTTTGGATTAGTTTGTAGTGTCTTATGAGTAATGTTAAGCATCATGAAAGAAATATCATGAAAAGTTTCATAAAAAACTTTCATCATTTGATTTGTGTGTGGTGTTTTATTATGCGTATAATCTAAACGTAGAGGATCTTCATGAAGCCTTTTATGATATTTCGTTTATGATGTTTAACATTGTTCATGTTTTATTGTATATTATGCAATTACCCTTGAATTAGTTTTATAAAAAAAAATTATGATATTTATTAAATGATACATTACTCATTTTCTAACTTAAAACCGAGCCAGAACCAAAACCAAATTCTTAAAGTTTTATTGATTTGATTCTTAAATTTTTAGAATGAATTTTCTAACTTATAATTGCACTAGAACCAAATTCTTAAGTTCTGTTTGGTAACGTTTACGTTTTCAGTTTATATTTACAAAAATTTTATAAAATGATTTTTGTTTATTTTTTGTTAATTTTTAGAAAAACATAAACTACAAACGCGTTTGGTAATTGACAAAATATTTAAAAAAAATTTAAAAATATAAAAAAGAGTGAAAAATGGCAAGTAGTGGCAAGTGGCGGCGGAAGACGGTGGTGAAAAGTGGTAACGGTGGGGGGTGGGTAGTGGGTAGCTGGTAGTGGTGGGTGGTAGCGGGTTGGGTAGGTGGGTGATAGTGGCGGGTGGTAGCGAGTGGATGGTGGTGGTGGCGGGTGGGTGGCGGATGACGGGTGGTGGCGGGTGGGTGGTGATGGTAGTGGACGAGTGGGTGGTGTGGTGGTGGCGGTGATGGGTGGTGGTGGCAGGTGGGTGGTGGATGGTGGGTGGTGGTTGGCGAGATGGCCCGGTCGTGGTGCGTTGAGATGGCCGTGAAGTTGGTGGCATGGTGATTTGCGGTGATGTGAATAGTGGTGCGGGTGGGCAGGTGAGTGGCGATGGGGGATGGGATAGGTGGTAGCCGGGTGGTGGTTGCAATGGTGGGTAGGTGACGGTGGTGGATGGTAGAGATATTTTGGTGGGTGGTGGATGGTGGTGGCAGGTGGGTGGCGGATGGCGGGTGGTGATGTGGGGGGTATCAGGTTGAGAGTGGTAGTGGTGGAACGAGTGGTGTGGTGGTGGTGGTGGTAGCGGTGTGGGGTGTTGGTGTGGTAGGGTGGGTGGTGGTGGTATGTGCTATGGGTGTGTGGTGGTGGTATGGGTGAATGGGTGAAGTGGCGGTGATGGGTGGACGTGGGTGGTGGTGGGTGGTGGTGGTGGGTCGTGTGGTGGGTGGTGTGGTAGGTGGTTGGCGGATGGCGGGTGGTGGTGGGTGTGGCGGGGGGTGGGTGGTGGTGGCGGTTGGTGATGGTCGATGGGTTGGGTGACGTGAGGTGGTGGGTGGTAGCAAGTGGGTGTGGTGGTGTGGCGGTGGCGAGTGGTGGTAGCAGGTGGGTGGCGATGGGTGGTGGGTATGTGAGGTGGCGGTGATGGCAGGTAGCTGGTGGCTGGTGGTGTGATGGTGTGGTGGCAGGTGGATGGTGAGATAGTGTGGCGATGTGGTGGCAGGCGGTGGATAGTAGTCGGCGGTGGATGGCAGTGGTGTAGTGGTGATGTGGCTGAGGGGTGTGGGTCGGCGATGGGTGCAGATGGGTGTGTGTGGTGGTGTGGCAGTGTGGTGGTAGGCTGGCTGGTGGGTTGGTGAGTGGTGGTGGGGTGGTGGTGTGGCGGAAGACAGTGGTGGAAAATGGTAGTGCGTGGTGGCTAGTGTTGGTGTTAAAAAAAAATCAAAAATCAAAACTCAAAACTTCAAAACTCAAACGAAACACATTTTTTGAGTTACATTTTTTGCCAAATTTATAAACTGAGACCAACTGATTTATATATCAAAAATTCTAAACAAGTTTTATTTGAATTTAAAATTTTTGTAATATAATAGAAAACTAAAAGTAAGTGTTACCAAACGGCACCTTAAGTTTCTCATGATTTGATCTTAAATTTTTAGAATGAATTTCTAACTTATAACAGTGAAAGACTTATTTAGTTCTTAACCCCAGATTTGCATTTACTTTAGGAATAAATAATCACAAAAAGACAAAATTGACTACAAAAAACCATAAGACAATATATTTTTTTTTTATTCATAATCATTACACTT